GTTGCAAGAAGTATCTTATTTGCCTCACATGTTCCTACCAGGTTTTGGGGTGATGCTGTTCTTACTGCTACCTACCTTATAAATCGCATGCCATCCAGGGTTTTGGGGTTTAAGTCTCCCTTCACTCTTCTTCATCTAGACAATGACCTTTTTCCTGTTCCTATTCGTGTCTTTGGTTGCACCTGTTACGTACATGTTCCAAGTGTCCAAAGGCATAAATTTGAACACAAAGCTCAAAAGTGTATCTTCCTTGGTTATTCCCCCACACAGAAGGGTTAKTGTTGTTTTGATCCAAAGTYTRGCAATCRRYATGTCTCAATGGATGTCACCTTTGATGAGCTTTCCCCTTTTTATGGTTCCTCTCCAGAAGGACATTGTCCACAGGGGGAGGATTTGACACAGGTGTTTGCACTTCCTCTTCCTGTCTCTGTTGAGTCTCTTGATGTGTCTGCCTCTCCTTCAAATGTATCAAGGGCGGATCAATCGTTCAATTCTCCTTGTCCCAGTACTCTACCTCCTCGTCCTATCCTCAATCCCAAGGTGTATCAAAGGCAAAGATCCAGAAATGTGCAGGTTGTTTCTCCTTCAACACATGAGCCTCATACACTTCCAGTCACAGAAGAGACAACAGGTACTGTTTCAGCACCTTTGGATTCATCATTCCCTGACCTTGATATTCCCATTGCTATCAGAAAAGGAAAACGGAAGTGCACTGCACACTGCATTTCCAAGCACCTTTCTTATAGTTTGCTTTCACCTTCATACTTTGCCTCTCTCTCTTTTGTTGCTTCTCATCCTATTCCCAGGTTTGTGTCAGAAGCTCTTAAGATTCCAGAATGGAGGGATGCTATGAGATCTGAAATCGATGCCCTACACAAGAATGACACATGGGAAGTGGTGGATTTGCCTGAAGGGAAGGATCCTGTTGGTTGCAAGTGGGTCTTTACTATCAAATACAGNGTGCTGATAATGTCGAACTGAATAACCCAGTCGACAGTACTATTATTTATATTAGACTATAGTACAATGTTACAGGAAATGTCTGGAATGCCCCTGATTAGTGATGGGACACCCAGACTACTTAAAACAGCAAATAAACTTAGGCCCATTAACACAGGCCCAGTACATAACAACTTAAATACAAATACAGACTAATAATAACACTTATAAGCCGAACCATCAATACATAAAACCCCTCAACCTAACACCCATGACCAACATTTTTGAGTTCAATTGCAAATGAAACTCCATAATGTTTCAATATGGTTGGTCTGGTTGCTTGCATGCATATATAATGAAGTGTGCTTTGGTTCCCAGGTAGATATTCTGCTATTCTATCATATTCTTCTGATGATCATTTGTTGTTGCAGTGTTTGTCACTACTTCTGTGGCTGGAAGAGCGTTATGAGACTGTCTATATGCGTCATCCTGGATTTCAAAAAGGATCAAAGCCACTTCTGTCATTAGATAATCCCTTCCCAATGGATCTTCCTGAAAACCTTTTTGGGGAGAAATGGGCCTTTGTCCAGTTACCTTTCTCAGGCATGTGAATCACTTCTTTGATGATTTCCATTACTTTCTCTTAAGAGTTTTGTCTCTTCTAGTAAGCATGCAATGCATTTATAATATTGCATATAACCAGTGTTGCATGGACCTCCTAAATGGATGGAGTATCTGTGCTTTTTTTATAAGAAATGGTAGCACTTTCATTAAAGATACTAAAAGGAGAGTACAGTTATCACCACCCAAAGGATGGGTGGAAAATCAGAATAAAAGTCTTACATACAAGCCCAAAACAAAGTCTCCCCAATAACTCCTTGCTTAGCTAATGTGTCAGACATTCCATTTGCTGACCTTCTTACCCAATTAAATTGCACCCCAAGTTCCTTTGCCAAGCTAATAATCTCTCTTAGAAGCTGTCTAAGTGACCATACTCCCAAGTTTCTAGATTGCATCCACCCTATTACCAGATTGCAGTCTGCTTCCACTTCCAAGTGCTGCATACCCCATTGCTTTTCCAATTTCAGTCCTTGAAGTAAGGCCATGACTTCTGCCCTCAAAGAATCTCCCACCCCAATTGGGCCCGAGTAAAGGGCCAAAACTCAGGATGAAGTATCTGTGTTGAAGACACATTAGAGTTGAACAATCCATGGATTCTTGAAGGACACTTTTATACAAGATTTTTTTTTACTTTTTTAACCTTTTTTATTCAACTCACTGGAACAGATAATGTACACAATAAATTTAATTTCCATATAAAATGCTATTAAGTAACAAATATTTCTATAGGTTTAAAATGTTAAAGTTCAACAAACATGGACTGTCTTAATAGTTTATACTTTTATGTAGACGTGTCCCTGAGTCCTTGTTTTTATGTCGTGTTGAGTCAGACTCCTGGGCACACACACATCAGGTTCTGATTCCCATGTATCTCTCTATACAATACTACATATAACATGACCATTTTAAGTAGCGTTGTTTTCATATTTTAGGCTTTTCTGTTATAATCATTACTACTTGCAAAAAGCATCCCATACAGGGATCAGTTAGGCAGGAATTCAATGAGTTGTATGTGGTAATGGAGGTATCTTCTTTGTTTGATATGCATTAAAATGGTAAATATCACTGAATATTAATATGGATGATAATTGGTATCAAATAAAACACAAAGTGAAACCGCCAATGGATTGTCATCCAATATGTTCACCATGCAATACTTAATATCATCATTATCACCCAAATCTTATCCTAACTATATGGGGTCAGCTACACGAATCCTGTTCCGCCATTCCTTTCTGTTTAATGACATATCCATCTCTAAATTATGGGCACTTAAATCATTTCTTGCAATGCTTAACACATACATACATCATAACTAACTCACATCTAAGTCAAATTTTATTTTATATATATGTATGCTACATACATATATACAGTCATACAGTCATTACTTATTCCAATGGTTTACGTTCTAGCTTCAATTGCAATTCTTTTACTATCTAGATTGCTAACAATAAATATGGCTTTCACAAGAAAGTGATTCTTTTTTTTTTTAATTTTATATTTTTAACTTTCAGCTGTCCAAGAGGAGGTCTCATCTTTAAGGACAAGGTTCACCTTTGGTGCAAGCTTAGATTTGGACCTCTTGGGAATTGAAATTGATGATAAGACATTGATTCCAGGACTGGCTGTTGCATCTTCACGTGCTATACCTTTAGCAGGTATATATGCCCTTAATGATAGATGTCTTGACGATAAATCCATAAAATATTCATTTGACACCTGGAACATGACATTTCCATACTGTACTTCTCTGAGGCATGAGGGGTCTATATGCTATTTGTGTAAATGCTAATTTATTTCATCTGAAGAAAGATAACTTTTCATCTATATCAGTCATTATGTTATACACATCCTCTGCACATGATTCAAATGATGAACTACAAAATCCTTATATGTTAAGTATTGCATTCCCCTTTGTAGAGAAGATGGGCCGAATGGCCCATAGGTTGTTTATTCTTTCTTGTTATTTATGTTTCTTTTCTGTAATGGGCCTTATTCTGGGCCCATCCTGTCAATATTAAGTTCTTTGTAAATTCTTGCCCAACTAAGGGCCTCCTTGTAATTATTCAAATATATCTAATAAAACAGTGTTAGGGGTCTGAGAGAAAGAGTGTGTTCGAAACCCTATTCTCAGACCCTCATTGCCGAACCCTCAACTCTCTTCTCTTCAGTTTCTTCACCCTTCAATTCAAGGATTACCTTAGACGTTTATATGATTGACTTAGTACTGTTTGCTCAAGTGAGAGGCATCTGACCCGTGGTGCCATGCAAATGAGGATGAAACACAACGAAAAGAAATTCCAGCCCACAGATGGAGACCAGAAAAAGGACTTGCACTGAAAGAATTAGTATTGATATTTCCATTTCTTTTTTGGTATAGTCGTCTATATTGACCTATTTGGTGCTAAAAGATCTAACAGTTACATTCATCTTTTTGGCTTTTGGCAGAAAATCTCTTCCTTCCAGGACAAGTTATGGTTTCTTTTCTGAAATTTTAGTATTTTCATCACCATATTGGATTGAAAAATATAAATTTTCAATGAAATGATTGCATGTTTTAACATTTAAGTCTATGTGAAACAATTAAACTTTATAATCTTGAATACAACATAGACCTGGCTTGTGGAATGAATGAAGCCATACATCACGGAGGTTGGAGTTATGCTAACTGTCAAAACCTTCATTATCATGTTAACTTTGAGTAGACCCTTTTTTATTTAACTATGCTATATGGCATTTGATTATCTGTATTCTTTCCATATTTTTATATTCATAGCAGAATTATCAAGTCTGATATTGGAAGACACACACTTCTCAATGAGGTAGAAAGAGTATTAAGACAATTCCTGATGATGCACTTATTTGGATGCTTCTATACCAATAAATTTTAATTTACAGGTCCATATGGTTAAAACTAATAGGGTCATTGCATTATAACCATAAATACTCTTAGTAATAGCTGTTCGCCCTGTTAATAATGGAAACCTTCCAGTTATCTAAGGCCATAAATATAATTATAATATTAGTTTAATGCCATTTATGTGTGCTAGTTAAATGCATTATATTTTTTGCAACCATGGTATAATCACATACACTATTTAAATGTAAAAAGGTTCACTAGTTGGATCAAGTAGGAGCTTGCCTACTTGAAACCACTTATTTCTGCTATGTAGAGGGATCTTGTGGCTGATCCAGACCATCCATTAGACAAGGGACCCAGTGGATTGGCCACATGTTCAATCCCACAGTCCATATGCGTGATTTTCACAACTAGTGCTAGTTGTTCAGAGTTTTGATTTTTTTTAATGTAAAACCTAACTATAAAAGTGGTTTAATATGCATACGTGCAAGGTGTTGGGGGTCAATCTTCTTTTCTCCATGAACAGGGTGTTTGGGTCAATTTTCTTTTAGCAAGCTGTTTTCTTGTACTTTTCCCTCTTTTCTAGTAAAGATGAATTGAGCAACCAAATTATTGGCCTATTAAGTTGTTAGCTTTTGAGTGTTAACGTGCATGGTTTTTTTCCTTTTTTTTCCATTTCAGCTTGGATGAATGGATTGGAGGTTTGCTCAGTTGAAGCTGATACTTCCCGGGCTGGCTTGATTCTATCAGTTGGAATTTCTACTCGGTATATCTATGCTACTTACAAGAAAACTCCAGCAACAACTCAAGAAGCTGAAGCTTGGGAAGCAGCGAAGAAGTCATGTGGAGGCTTGCATTTTCTTGCCATCCAAGAAAGCTTAGATTCAGATGATTGCGTTGGGTTTTGGCTCCTCTTGGATTTGCCCCCCCCACCTGTATAATTTGAGCTGACATTTCCATTATCCATGATTCACTCTTAAATGTTACTTCTCATCCATATTGTGTTTAGGCCAATGGTTGCAGGAGAAAATGCACTCCCACTTATTAGCTCTTTAGGCTGCATTTGGAAACGATGCAAATGGAGTGTAAATCCCGGTTCAGGGTAAATTTGCACTCTGGTTCACTTTTGCCTTTTTTTTTTATTAGTAAAAAGAAGTTTCATTAATGTAAAGAAATTACAGGGGTTATAGTTTATGAGTAGCCTCGGCTACCCCGTTACAGTGCATCCACTAGTAAATTTACTTTTCGCTTTTATAGTTGAGCCCAGAAACATTGATCCCTGTTCACCCCTTGTTTGGCTAGCTGGTCTGCAAGTCCATTTGCTACTCTATGGGTCCACTGAATTGAAAGCTGCATGTCCTTGGATAGACTTTTTAATCTTCTTGATGTCATTTCTGAATATCCAGGGTGTACTGTCATATTGTTTTAGCCAACTGATGATAACTTTTGAATCCCCTTCCACAACCAAACTTTCCACCCCCATCTCCTTAGCCTTTTGTATCCCATATACCATTGCCTTCAGTTCAGCTGTAATGGAATTTCCAATTCCAATGGAACCCAAATACAGCCCCAGCACATTTCCTCTTTCATTTCTTATAACCCCTCCGATTCCAGATCTTCAAAGGTTTCCGAAACTGCTGCCATCAAAATGATTCAATTTGACAAAGCCTGGTTCAGGGGGCACCCACTCCTTCAGGATCTTCTTTTTTGCCGAGGAAAAGCAAGCAATTAGCCTCCAATTCCTAATCATATCATCCACTATAAAATTTGAAAATAAGTTCAGTGTTTTCACCCATGAGATCACCTTCATCATAATACTTTCAATCATTTCTGCCTTGCATCTTTCCTTATCTTCAAACAATCTCCGATTTCTTTCCTCCCATGGTACCCATAGTACTGCTGCCCTTGTGCATCTCCACATCATTCTCCCTCTTTGCTTTGGCCATCTAAAAGTAGATGGCGCAAACAATCTTTCCAAGCTCATTGGGGTGTCCCACCTGCATCCAAATAGGTAGAAGAACCAACCCCAAATGCTACTAGCAAGAGGACAGGCAACAAGAATATGAAAAGCATTCTCACCATTTGACTTACATAAATAGCACCAATTTGGTGAAAGGCACCAACTAGGTCTTTTCCTCTGCAACAGATCACTAGTGTTAATTGCACTATGATATACTTCCCAACAAAAAGCACCACTTTGTGAGGGACAGGTCGACACCAAACTTCCTGTAAATGAAAAGGGTTCCCCAAGTTGGGCAGGAGAAGACAAAGACTTGAAAAAGGAGGCACAACTGAAAACACCTGAAGGATGGGGAGACCAAAGTCTAGTGTCTTGTTTAGAAGTGTCAAGCCACACCCCATCAAGCACCTGAAGTAGAGAAGACAAAGAATCCAGTTTTGAGTCCCTGACACTTCTGGGAAGTCCCAAGTTCCAAGTCGGACCAGACAAAGGTGGGGAGGGGGCAAGAAAATCAGCAACCGGTCTACCTTTGAGGGATGAAAGAGCAAAAATTGAGGGAAAGAGGGTTTTTAAAGAAGACTCTCCCACCCAAATATCTTCCCAGAATTTGATTTTGTTACCTGAATTAAGATCAAATCCAATATGACTAAGAAACGAAGGGAGAAGTCTGTGAATTGCCTTCCATGGTGAATAGCTCAATGCCCTGCTGGAAACTCCAACATCCCATCCACTCCCTGAGAGCCCATGTATACTGGTTACCACTTTGTGCCAAAGCCTATCTGTCTCACCTGGGAATCTCCATAACCACTTGTCCAAGAGAGCTTCATTCCTCTCCTTAAGTCTTCCAATGCCCAGCCCTCCCAAATCCTTCCTTCTAGTCACTACTTCCCATCTAACTAGATGATCTCTCTTCTTCTCATCAGGTCCCCACAGAAAATCCTTCCTTCTAATCACTTTTGCCTGTGTTTGGCAACATTACACTTATGCATTGACAAATGACAGACCGATGCATATTTACATTGATAATTAGATGTAAAGGCTCAGTTTGGAAGGAGTACAAATACAAATATGTACAGTGCAAATACATACAAAATACAAGGTTTTGCACTCTACATATTTGTATTTGCACTCATTCCTAACTGAGCCAAAAGTACATCAATAAAAACGAAGTAAATTTGCATTCAAATGGGTTTTTGATAAAAAAAAGCATATGTTTTATTGAAATTCATGTTTGCATCCATTACAGCTAAAAGTCTGTTTGGTAAGAAGGTAAATTTGTCAATGCAAAATTAACCCAACTTTGCAATTTATATGAACTATTTTATACTCTACATATTTACATTCACACTTATTTGCATCGTTTCCAAACAAAACCTTAGGAATGCCAATGTCATGGTGAACCAAACCAATCCACTTGAGCTAACCCTGATTCTAAACTGATCTACCCCATGAAACGAAGTCTAGAAACTATACTTCACAGTTTGAGCAATATGTGAACCCCGCCCCCGCTCCCTCTGAAGTAGAGGGTTTGCTTGGGACTGTACCCAGTTAAAACGGTTCCTTAGGGCTAACTGCCTAATGCCTATTGAGACCAATTCCTGACCATAAGCAATTAATAAAGTGAAAAAGAAGAAACAAGAATCAGTTGGTTGATGAGGCTCTTGTGGCAAGGGTATTTATTGGAGAATCAGTATGAGAATAGAAAAAGAATATCCAGAACAGACACCATAAGAGCTTGTCACCTCAAAGCATACTATAACATTTTAACCTCCACATGTCAAAGTAGAAGGAATGCTTATGTAATTTAATGTACTTACTAATTTGCTTATGCTGCACTCAAAACCTAGTCCCTATTGCAATCATTGACAGCCTTCTATGCTGTGCTGCAAATAATGTAATTCAGTTATCCCTAGACAATTAAAATGTGACAGAGTTACAGGAGCCAGAAGGTATTGACCTACCCAACTTGAGCTTTAGACATTAAGTAGCCCACAACCTACTTAAAATCTTCTTTCAGTAAATGACAAAATAATAAGCATTTCAGTTCAACCAGCTGTTACCAAACAGCCCTGAATTTGAGGGTAGCCACTAAATTCAAAAAAAAAAAAGGCCAAAGTTAGTATCCAATCCACCCCTCCCAAGGTCATGCATACCTAAGCTAAACTGCACATGTACCCTATTGCTCAGGATTCCCTACAAGCAAAAATTCTGTTCATTCTACATGGGAGTCCGGCCACACATTAGGAATACAACGGGATTCCCTGCAAGATACACTTTTTTTTTTCTTTTTTTGATAAATAACACGACGCTCTGGACATTCTTCAAGCATAGGAATCCAGTCAAACATTAGGAACATCTCCTTATGAATTTAACATACGGTTGGATGTTATATAGAGTTTTTGCATGCAAGAGATCCTGGCATCCCTGCCATCCAAGGGTCTAATTAATAATTACTATTTATTTTGAAATAAAGAACATATGGTTTTAACACATGTAGTAGTTCATAAAAAGTTATATAACCATTAGCTAGCATATTAAGACAAGTTTACTATAACTTTGGGTACCAATTGCATTGCTCTCTGCAGTCAGGTATATCTTATGGAATCTAATTCTAATTTCCATCTGAACCAAATAGGTAATTCTGATTCCAATTTCAGGGGATTTCAATTCTGATCCCAATTATAAACTAAACAGACCCATTAGGCTCCATTTGGAAATAATTAAGAGTGCAGATACAAATATATTAAGTGCAAATACAAATATGTACAATTCATACAGAGGTTCCGTCTGTATTTGCACTTTCCCCAAAAACGGGGCCTAGATTACAATTACAAGGTTTCAATGCTGAAGCCAACCCAAGAAAATTTTGGTTCAAACCATAAATGTCCTACTATGGAATTTGGGATTAAATCATTTGAAACTACATCAAATCAAATCAGCTGAAAAGCTCAGATTCATGAGAATGATACCAATATTTCTCATTTTTGTAAACGATTATTGCTTAATTATCGTATGAATCCCAAGTAGTTCGCTTGCAGGAATGGCATTTAAAGGGACTGAAACAGTTGCGACGAAAGCGAAAATGATGATTCACTTTATCATTTGGGAATTGGGGGAAACAGCAGTTAATGGACTCTCTTTTAGTAGCAAATTTTGTAAAGCTTCCGATCTTTTGAGAATAAAGAGAGGTAGACAGGTAGCTATCGTTATCAGTAAAATTCTTTCACCATAATTCCCTTATTGATAACTTACCCCACTTGTATTAGGCATTTTGACAAAGCATTTACCTCTGCAACTTCATTTTCCCATCTCAAATAGAAAGTTCAATACACTAAGATGTGTAAATCCATCCTCGGACCCTGAATAGGTCAGATTGTATTTCTCGCGTCTTTCGAGTTATTCCAGGTAATTTTCAGAAGCTGCTGCCTGCTGATCACTTTCGCAGAGTGAAGAAATTGTATAGACCCTCCTGTTCAATCAATCACTGTTCCACGGCATGACCCTTTTTTATATGTACAATCAGCTATTGCACTTCAGCAAGATGGCCGGCCAAGGCGATGAGGCGATCAACTCCAAGAAAAAAAAGCTGGTGGGCAAAAAAGAAAAGCCATGATTGTTGGGTTTCAAAGCTGGAGCTGCTTCTGCCGGTGGAATGGATCACTCAACATTTAAATAAAATCCACAGATAAATGGGTTCAATCTCATGTTTTAGTTCGCTTTTGCTTTTGAGAAACAAAACGAACCCCTTGCTTCCCAAGATCCAAGGTCTTCGCTTTACCATCATCTAGATGAACGGTTAAAGATGATGTGCCTTCCATCACCTCAGTAACTACTCCCTTGCGCCTACAGAAAGTCAAACAGATCCTGTCAAAAATACCTTCTTTATAGAAGTAAAACTAGTATGCCAAGCAAGGCATCTAATTTAAAGATTGCAAGACCATTTTTCACGTCATTTATAATTTAAGCAAAAGATGTTGCAATCTTTCTAAAAAGTACGATGGTGCAGAAAGAATGCATTACGAAGGTATGAGAAGATCAAACTTAGGAAGCACTCACCAGGAATTATCAGATGGTTGGTGAACTTCAACTCTTTTTCCAATTGCATCCTTGCCCAGCTTCTTTAAGATCCAGTTGGCACCCATTACCTCATTGACTGGATTTTCCTGATGATATTGTGTATTCTCATCATCTTCCCTGACTAGGGCTTTTTCAGTCAAGGGCGATGGTCTTTTCCTTTTTGATCTCTGCCCTTTGACAGAAGTCTTCTCTTCCTCCCCATGGGGAACCCAGGAACTCCGGTTATCAATGTAAGGATTCTTAAATTTAAGTTTCAGCAATGGTTTGGGGTCTTTTGGTACCGCATCAGAAACAGAGGGTGTGAGACTGGAGTTATTGCAGCTTTCACTATGTATATTAGGTGTACCTCTTGAATGCTTCCTCAGCAAGATATCTTCATCCTTTAATGTGGTTGTTTCGCCTACAGGCTCCACAGCAGCAGCACTTCTTTCCTGATAAGTAGATTGATAACCCTCTCTGATACTCCCCCCACTAATATTTGAATTCAAGTCAGAAACATCTGACTTGGATTTTCCCAACTTTATCAAGCTATCTTCCCTAACTCTAGGCTTATCTCCTGCAAATATCAGAGAACCAAATGAATGCTTAGTCCAAGTTAAAACAGCATATTCTATTTTTAAGTACTTGGCAATATATTGACAACATAAGCCAGGACAATAATCAAAAGGTATCAGAGCTGATTCCCTAACGAATCTCAACCATCATCCAAAACTAAGAACTACAATACCTTTACTATCTCCTAATCTGGTTAGTCCATCATGCCCATCAACCACATACTTTTTACCATTGGCCTTCTGCTGGCTAGTTTCATCACTACCTGTTCATCAAATTACCACAAATGAAAATTCATCACAAACTAACAGGAAAAAGAAAAGTCGGCAACACTTCACCATCTTTGAAAGTAAACACAGATTTTTATAGAAAAACAATTACAAAAAAAACGACAAAGAACATCAAAATGGTAGAAATGAGAAAATGAGAAGCATCTTGGCTAGTTACGGCCAAGACAAAGAACACCAAAAGACAAAAAAAAGACAGAACATCAAAAAGGTAGAAATGAGAAAAAAGACAAAGAACATCAAAAGACAAAGAACATCAAAAAAAAAAGAAAATGAGAAAATAAAAAAGAGTTAAACAAAGAAGCATCTTTCAAAGAAGAGATGATAGAAATTTGGAAGTAAAAGGAAAGTGATCAATTAAATTAAAACACCCAAAGAACATCAAAATTAAATTTGCGAAAAAGATGATCATAAACATACAGGATTCAGTGCACAAAAAGTACTAGTTACGGCATGATGATGGTAGAAAACATATTCTTATTTTCTGGCCTCTTAAAGTCCTTCAGAACAATTTCAGCATAAGAAAGCTTGATAAACTACAGTCATTTTTTTTATCAATAAAAAGAAATTTCATCGATGAAAATAGAAATTAGAGGGGTTACAGTTTATGAGTAGCCTTGGCTACCCCACTACAATGTACTGTATCCACTATTAAGTTGATTTTCACTCTTACAGTTGAGCCCAGAAACAGTGATCCCTGTTTACCCCTTGTTTGGCTAGCTGGTCTGCAAATCCATTTGCTGCTCTAGGAGTCCACCGAATTGACAGTTGCATGTCCTTGGATAGGTTTTTAATCTTCTTGATGTCATTTCTGAATAGCCAGGGTGTGCTGTTCTGTTGTTTTAGCCAACTGATGATAATTTTGGAATCCCCTTCCATAACCAGCTTTTCCACCCCCATCTCCTTAGCTTTTTTGTATCCCATATACCATTGCCTTCAGTTCAGCTGTAGTGGAATTTCCAATTCCAATGGGACCCGAAAACAGCCCCAACACATTTCCTCCATTTCTTATAGCTCCTCCAATTCCAGATCTTCCTGGGTTTCCAAAACTGCTCATTCAAAGTTTAATTTGATAAAACCTGGTTCAGGGGGAACCCAATCCTTCAGGACCTTCGTTTTTGCCGAGGAAGAGCAAACAGCTGTCCTCCAATTCCTTATTATATCATCCACTGTAAATTTTGAGAATAAATTCAGTGTTTTCACCCATGAAGTCACCTTCATCATAATACTTTCTATTAGATCTTCCTTGCATCTTTCCTTGTCTTCAAATATTCTCAGATTTCTTTCCTCCCATAGTACCCATAGCACTGCTGCCCTTGTGCACTGAATCCTGGGAGATTTGCTAGAAAATCCCTCATTATGCATCATTTTGTGCACTGAATCCTGTATGTTTCTGATTCAGTGCCCTAGTCCTCTTGCATCTTTCCTTGCATCCTTTTTCTCATCAGGTTCCCATAGAAAATCCCTCATTATCTTCTCTAACTTCTTCCCAATAGCTTGAGGCATACTAAACACTGAGAGATAGTAAACTGGCAGATTTTCTAAGGTGGCCCTAAAAAGAATGATCCTATCCCCCAAAGAAACATAATTTCTCTTCCATGCTGCCAATTTCTTTTCAAACTGCTCCAGTATCGATTCCCAGAATCCTAAATTTGTTAGGTTTGCACCTAGGGGGAGTCCAAGATATTTCAAAGGCCACTCACTCCGCAGACAACTTAATTCCTCTGCCCAAACATTGACCTCTTCTTGGGTTAAGTTAATCCCAGCTACCACACTCTTGTTGAGGTTCACCTTCGGATTTGTCACTTTTCAAAAAGATTAAACACCAACCTTAGGTACCTTGCAGCCACCTAATCTCCAATTTCACAAAAAGCAATGATGTTGTCTGCAAATTGAAGATGAGTTACCACCACACTCTCCCTTCCTACTCTCCAACCCTTTACAATACCTGTCACATCTGCCTTCCAGATCAATCTGCTAAGCACCTCCGCTAAGATCGTAAAAAAGGAAAGGGGATAGAGGGTCTCCTTGTCTCACTCCTCTTTTAGCATAAAAAAGTCTTTTACTACTCCATTGACTAATACTAAGAAATGACAAGACTGTAGACATCCTGTAATCCACCTACACCATCTCGCTCCAAATCCACACTTCCTAAGAGCCTCCAACAAAAACTCCCAACCCACAAAGTCATAGGCTTTCTCTAAATCTAATTTGCACACAATGCCTTTCTTTCCAGATCTCCTGAAATCCTCCACACATTCATTAGCTATTAGAATTTGATCCAAAATTTGCCTTTCTTGGATTAAAGCCCCTTGAAACTGAGAGATGATTGCTGGTAGGACCTTTTTTAGCTTTAGGGAGAGAACCTTGGCTAGGGTCTTATATTGGCTTGTTATCAAACTAATTGGCCTAAAGTCCTTAGGGTGGCGAGCTCCAGATTTCTTTGGGATCAGTGCTATGAAGGTAGCATTAACAATTTAACAACTCGGCTAACAACCCCTCTATGATAGAATTCCTCAAAAACTTTCATCACATCCTCTTTTAGCCACTCCCAACAATCTTGATAGAAAGCCATTATGAATCCATCGGGCCCGAGTGCCTTAGTTTGATCCATTGAGAAAATGACTTCTTTCACTTCACTCTCCTCAAAACATCTCTCTAGATTTCTGCTCACCACCTCTTCTAGAACTGGCCACTCCAATCCTTCCAACTCCCATCTTCCTGACATAGGCCTTCTAAAAATTGATTCAAAGTGATCCACCAAGACCTTAGCAATCTCGTCCTGATTTGTTAAAGTTCCATTTTCCAGTTCTAGCATAGAGATCTGATTCTTTCTTTTTCTCCTATTTGCTATCATGTGGAAGAATTTGGTGTTCCCATTCCCTTCTTTAATCCATCGCATTCTTGATTTCTTCTTCCAAGTTATTTCCTCTCTCAAAAGCATAGTTTCCAATTCTCCTTTCAAATTTAGTCTTTCCTCCTCCCCTATCTCTAAAGCCCCTCCCTCCTTTCTATTGATCTCCTCAATTCTGCTTATTAGCTTTCCCTTTCTTTGTTCTAATCTCCCAAAATTATTCAAATTCCACTCCTTTATTTTTTCTTTTAAATTCACGAGTTTCCTATGGAATCTAATCCCTTCCCAATCAGCTTGGCAGTTGTCTTCCTCCCACCACTCCTTGATTTTTTGCATATAACTCTGGGACTGTAAGCCACATGTTTTCGAATCAAAATGGCTTCGGCCCCTCTCCCTATAATCCTTGTTAAATGCAAATCGGCCAACGATCCGAAGTGATTCTGGGTAACATTCTGCTTACCACATTATTCCAATGTTCCTCCTAATCCATAGGCACAAGGAACCTGTCCAATTTTGAGCATAAAGGAATTTCTTGATAATTAGTCCACGTGAATCTTTGTTGACCACTTTCAATCTCCTTTAGCTCAAAGGTTTCTATAAACCTATTGAATCTCCTCATGCTAGTGGATACCCTCTGTCTTGGCTTGTTAGATTCATCGAGATGTCTGATCACATTAAAATCACCCCCAAGCACCACGGTCCCTACCATAGTCCTCTCACATCTGCCAACTCTTCCCACAACTCATTTCTTTCCCTGTACGAAAGAGGTCCGTAAACGTTTGTGAGCACCCATGTGCAACTGTCGTCTACCTTCCTCAATTTACAGACACTGAGAATCTCCCTATTAAGTCCTCTATGCACTCTATTGTCTCCTCATTCCACAAAGTGATTATCCCTCCCGATGCACCATACGATGGGGCCACTTTGTATCAATATTCAGGACCTTTGACTCTTGTGTCATTACAATGTATGGCTTCTCTCTCCTCAATAATTCCTTTACGAGCCTTCTTTTTGTTGCTCTCCCCAACCATCTGATTCCAACTCACCATCTTCATTTCTCCTTGGCTTTGACTCCCCTTTACAGCTTTACCCTTCCCAATCTCTTCTCCTTCCACTACTCTCACTCTCCTTAACTCTCTTGTCCCATCCACTCCTTAGTTTTTCCACCTCCCTCAATTTCCTCTTACCAGTTTTACCCCAATTGGCCTTCACCTTCATTTGGGTCTTGGGTGGAACTAACTTAGAGGTTTTCAATCCCATCCTTTCTGCCCATTTCAGTAACAGGATCTCCTCATCTGATTGGCCTTCTCTCGGGCTTTTCGCCTCTGCTTCCTCCCCTCCACCATCACTTCCCTCTTTTTCAAGTGTTGACTTCTCTATACTTTCTACTGTTACACTTTCCTCTCCTATCCCCCTAGAGACTACAAGCCCTACTTCTCCATCCTTGGCACATTCAGTATAATGGGTCTCTCTTAAGCCATGGTTTGCATCTGCAGAATCTGTAGAGGTAGCACTAGCATTATTAGTAACCATAAGCAATTTCACATTGTTACCTGACAAACCTTGCGCCCCTAGGGTGGCTAAGGCGGAAGGACTCGAGGGGGATCTCTGACCACAGCCCTGAAACCCGACTCGGCAAGTGCTTCTGTTAGGGAGTAATCCGGCTTTGGGATTGTCCTGGTTCTGGTACTTTATTCTTGCTTGGTGCTATTTAGAGACATCATTAAGCTATAGTCATTACTCATATTCCTGTTGAGACAAGCTATGTGGGCATCAAGCTGGTGTGAGCTCTCTTGAAAAGTCAAGGAATCACCTTGTTGTAATCTTCTTTTTCTATTTCAATAAATTTTCTTTCTTATTTATTAACACAAAAAGTCGGAAACCTAAAGCCAGCAATCTATAAAAAATCTACTTGAACAAAGTAGTGGCAAATAAACAAAGGTTATTCTCTTCCCCATTACTTTTCTATCCTCCTCTTTCTTTTTGTCTTTCCCTTTTAACAGATGCCTAACTTATTATTTGTTCTAATGATAATAGTCATTTGTAAACATGAAAGAGAAGTTTGAAATGTAACATAGAAGGTAGCCACTTGTATACCATTAGATGCTGTTAATTCCTGCTCTCTCTGACAGCTTGAAGCTTCAGACCTTGGAGAGGTAGTTACATTTCTGTTTCTTACACCCAAATGTATAACAAGCTTCTTTCCCTTTGTGGTTTCTGACTTGCAAACTCGTTTTCCAATTCCTTCACCTATACCCAAACCATGTGGTTCACTACTCTTAATTTTAACAACTTTGGAGGTTCTATCTTCATTTGTCACCACAATATCCTCAACAAGATTGTGCTTCACAATTCTTGATTTATTAATAGAACATCTCTCTTTGGTGTTAACAGGAATTCCAGCACTAGGAGACAAAAATGATTCTGCCCCTTCACTTATATATGAGCGCAAATGATCATTTCTCTCATCATACAAGCTGTTCTCAAGTGACTGTTCATCAAGTGGTCTATCAAAACTCTGATGAGCTTCAGTTTTCAATGTATAGTATCCTTTTTTCTTTATGTACTTTCTGTTTGAATTTTTCTTCCCATATTCTTTGGTGTTCTTTGGGGCTTTATCAACCATTCCTTTGACAGAAAACCTTAAAGAACGTCCATTTAATATAATGGGACCATTTTCTTCATCATCCGAGAATGGTGAGATTGAAAATATTTCCTCCTGAGTTGGCAATCCTGCAGCAGCCCTCAAGCTTGCAATTTCCTCTCTATCAGCTTCATCTCTCCTCCTCCAAAGTTCTGATATAGCTTCCTCTGGCTTGCTAACCTGGCCATAGGCAAAATCACCCCTACATCAATGTCAAGTTGCAAGGTTTTCCCAGCTATAAGATTTTCATATGGGTAAAAGATACCTTGTAACAGTCCCCACGACATGCAGCACATCTGTAATAAAGGTTTGTATCTGTTTGATACTGCAGATATTTTTCATCACTGCACAAGTATGTTGAAGTAAGAAATCGTCTAGATATGAACAGGCAGTTAAAGGATACTCACAGAAAAAAATAAAAAACACAAAAGAGCAGTTTTTATAAGCATAAATAATGAAGCAAATATATAGAAAAGAGTATTGAAATCAAGCCATATGACAAAATCCAGATTTGACAGTTATAAGCAAGCTAACATAGCTAGACCTGAAGACCCTACAACCATCTGCAGCCTAATCACTCTGCTGATACCATTCTTATCTTTATTGTGCCATAAGGAATGGATGAGGAAAGACAGAGGCACTTGTTCAAATAGGAAAGAACAAGGGATCAAAGCCAAGAAGATATAGATGTTGCTAGGGAAATCACAAAAACCAAATAAAAAACCTGCAGTAAGCATGAAGGTGTGCCATTGACCAATAACATGTGGGTGTCAGCTCAATAACATGTGCCACTGACCAGAATCAACTATCAAGTGCATTTATGTAGTTTTGTTTAGGTAATTACTGAGGTAGGTCCAATTTGGGTTATTTAGGTGTTGTTTGTATAGACTTCTACTTCTGTACTTTTAAAAATATCAAAGTATAAAGTACATAAAATATTTTTGCTTTGAATACCGTTTGGGTAAAAGATTTTTAAAAGTATGCTTTCCAAGACAGAAGTACCATTCTCTGTTTGGCAAAAGCACGCCCATTTTTATTTCCAGTGGTTTCGGGGTTTGAGACTGGTGATGGAAGTCAGACTCTAGCAGCAGTGAGCGGAGGTAGGGTCGAGAGTTTTATCAAAGGGTGGTTTGGTGGTCACACGTTACCACCTGTTCGCACGAAAACGAAAGCACAATTTCACCACAAGTACGAAGTATAGAAAGCTGACTTTGTGCTTTTGGGGTTTTCATACTTTTAAAAGTATGAAAGCAAAAAGTATAAAGTACATAATACAAATGCTATGTTGTATTTTTCGTACTTCTATACTTTCAAAAGTACGAAAGTACTTTATAAAAGTCTATCCAAACAGGGCCTTATTTATCATTGTACTGTTTTTATTGTTAATTTAGATGAATACAATTGATTTGTAGAAAGAACAATTGTATGAACAAGATATTTTGTGCCAAAGCAGTTCATCATTTTACATTGGGCATCCTCTTTCCCTGCCTTACACAATATCCCTTTCAGTTACATATATTGCATTTCTCTATGAATAAATCCTCAATACAATTGGTCCCTGTAGACCCCTTGACTTTCTAATGCATCTGCAATACCATCTTCTGATCTTTGTAACCAAGTAAAAGACTCGGATTCCTTGCTAAGTATCTTACAATTTTCAAGGTGTGTCTATGAACATAGACCCAGGCTGTTGTACTTTATCCATCCAACATCTGACCAGAAATCTCCTTCAACCATTATACCACAGTAAATAGTATTCCTGCTAGTTTCAACCCTTGAAGAAGAGCCAATAATTCCACTTCCACCCTTACTGAGTTACTGTGGCTAATACGGAAAGAGTAGATGGGCATACTGCACCTTCATTATCTCCAAATACTCCCCCCACACCAGATAAACCAGAGTTTTGCCAAGCAGCAGCCATCAGAGTTTAGTTTTATGAAGTTCAACTAAACATTGTTAACCTTCTCGTAAAGTAGAGAGACTGATTCTTTTGGCAGAAAGTAGAGAATGGTGAGGCAACCCGATTTCATCCCCTTAAAATACCATCCAAAAGGCTGCAAAAAGAGGTTTACTCCTGACCAAATCTTCTACTTTTACTGCAACATTTTCAAATAATGCATCTTTTGAGCAAGTTTGACCTTTAAAGATCATTGTGTTCCTTTCTTCCCAAAGGTCATAGTAAGGCAGCCTTGATGCAATTCCATAACAACCTTACCCTTCTTTTCTTTGGAAAGAAAAATTCAAAGAATTTCCTCAAAAAGGCTCTCCATGTCTAAGGGAGAGAACCACCTCCATCCAAAAAGGTTAAAGATTCCCAAATATCAGATGCAACAGGACAAGAGATCAGCAAGTGAAAAAGTAGATCACTAATTGCCATTCATGGCAAGCAAATAAAGAGACAAACCAAAGATCAAAGTTCTGACACGATATGCCCCATATCAGGTGTATCATATCGTATTGGTAGGACTCTGAAACCCCAAATAAAGGGGTGTTTCAGATTTTGACCAGTTTCAGGGAGATAGGCAAGCCTACAATTGACCCCCTGAAGCAATTTTGGAACTAAAAACAAGTTATTAGGTATCAAAACACCCAATATGCCTGTCCGTGTACGGGTGTGTTGATAATTTGAACCTTGAGACATAGGCCAACTGGGCCTACTTCTTAAAAGCCTAGTTCTTTGGTGGATTGGTCCATCCCCACTAGCTCTAATCAAGAAAACCCTTGAGGGAGTAGGAGTAAAGTCTGGAAGAAAGAAAAAGAGAGAGAGAGAGAGAGAGAGAGAGAGAGAGAGAATGAACCAAAAGGACTAGAGATCCAAATTCTGCTATCAAGTGTCACCAAATCCACGCAATCTCCTAAAGATGAAATGGGATCCAAGATGAAAAAGTTTCCTCTTCAAGACCCAAATGCCAAAGCAGACCAAAGTCAATCATAGACATGCACTTTTTATCAGCAAAAAGAACTGAGAATTTTATTAAAATGTACTAAATTTTGATATTACAATAAGTCCAATCAATCAGTCATAGACATGCATTCAGAAAAAAATTTCCTTTTTATTTAATCATAGGCCATAGATGCTAGGGAATCTCTCAGTCAGGCCACTCCCCCTGCCATAAATCCTCCCAAAATAAAGTCCTCCGCACATTAGAGATGTCATAGCAAAAAGACAGGCAAGTCATTTTGGATAAGCAAAATTAAATTCCACTGAGAGGCTACTGAGGAGGTAGTTTCCATCTCTGCATCCATACATTTAATGCCAACCCATAGATATTTTTTATCACAGTGATCAGCATCAAGTAGAAACCAGTATAACCATTTCCGCTATAAAAGAAAGATTTTTTCTTACCATCTCTCACATTCCCAACCCAATGTCTTGCTTCCTCCCACATACTATGTTCCAATTGATGAGACAGAACTTCCTTGATTCAATTAACTCCCAAAGAAAGTCTCTTGTACCTTATCTTGTGTTTGAAATATTGAAATTAATAGATCTAAAATCTATTTATCTTTTGGATATAATAATTTGCACATTTTTATTGTCATTTAGTAAAAAACTTTGATATGATTTTCCATACTGCGATTAGAAGCAGACATAGTATACTAGATAATGGAATGCAGGTTTTTGGTGCATCCCTCCCCATAAACAAAAATAAACTTGTATTCTTGTGAGCCTCCTTATCTGAAAGTGACATGGGATTTTGGATTTAGGAGAGAGGTCTGAGAGACTGGCAGACATAGTATACTAGATAATGGATGGAAAGCTGGTTTTTGACACACACAGTTTGATGTGCCCCCAAGAGACAAAACAAGATTCTAGGTAGACCAATGTGGGTGTGGTTTGGCTTTGAAAGATAAATATGCATCCCTTCCCATAAACAAAAATAAACTCGTATTCTTGTGTGCATCCTTATCTGAATATCACATGGGATTTTGGATTTAGGAGAGGTCAGAGAGACCAGCAGATCTTTTCTACTATGGATCCCATTCAGTTTATAGAAGATGTTTCCCTTCACCTTTCCATCCTTGATCAAAGAGTGTGGACTCCTAACTGCATTGACTTGTCCACTCGTGCATCCTTTTTTCATATTCTCACCCTGTCTCACACCCTTTCTGGATTCATGATGAAAGCCATTTCGTTGAGAAGAATGGTGCCCAAAATTAAAGCTTATTGTTGGGAGGTGGTACATTTGAAAATTAATAATTGTGAGCTAACAGTTTAGAGATGAATGATAGAAGAAAAGTTTAGAAAGAAGAATATAGATCTTCATATGGTGTTCATTGATCTAAAGAAAGCAAATGATAGAGTTCTTGGAAAGATAATATGGTGGGTCTTGGAAAAAGAAAGGGGTTTCAAATAGGTATATAGACTTAATTAAGGATACGCATGAGAATGCAACAACCACCCATAGGGGAGAGATATCAGACTTTACAGTTACAGTGGGTCTTCACCAAGGTTCATCGCATAGCCCTTATTTAATTGTGCTGATCATAGATGAATTGACTAAACATATTCAGTAGGATTGGTAAAAATCAGGGTACACTTAGGATTGGAGACCCAGAGATAGCTCAATGTGGCCTTTTCTGGTACCTTGATTAAATATTCATAACAAAAGAGAGAGGAGAGGGGACAAAATTCCATTAAATGACAATGCAGTGATCTCATAGAGTAGTGTTTCCTAGTCCTTGGCTTAATTTCTTAAATCAGAAATTCACAATTCCTCAATAAAGTAATATATTTTCTAATAACCTTGACCTAAACACATAGAAAACGGAAAATCTACTCATTTCTGCTTTTTAAGAAATAGTCGAAATAAACCTGATGCCATCACATTGCGGATGCACCCATTTCGAGCAATCATCACAGCAGACCATTGGTATTTGCTCAGTATCTCTAAAAACCTACAAAGATAGATCAATGGGGATCTAATCAAGCTTCTTCCAATAGAAACAAAAAGAAGTTAAACCAAAAAAAAAGAAAAACAAACATTCAACATTTGAACGAATAACTTACACCCATGCAAAACACTCAACTTTAGTTTCAAATCCATTATATTAGTGCTAAATGTAGACACACCAATCCTCGAGAAATTTAACTTTTGCATTGTGAGAATTCTTAGAACTAATATCTAATTTTATATTGGGAACAGAAGTGCAAAAAACAAAGTGTTATTGCAAATCATAGGAGAAGACTAATCAACAACAATACATAGAAGCAACGAGCCTATAGTAGGTTACCAAAAAAATAGCAACTCATACAATGGAAACGCAAACTACTAATCTGGTTTGGATGGGAACAGCCTCAGTAAAACTCCATACTTTTATTGGTGGGGGAGTGCGAAATTACAGACTAAAGAGAGATTGCTAAGGCATTCTCAGAGCATTTTAGGTTAATTTATAGAAGACCTCTAATTGTAAGGTGGGTGGCTTAAGGCATAGATTGGGAGACTTTGGGGGAGACTCAAGTGCAATTTTTGAAACGAAGATTTGAGGAGGAGGAGGAGAGTAAGGAAGCAGTTTTTTCTATGAATATATCAAAAGTTCTGGGGCCTAATAGCTTTACAATGGCAGTTTACTAAGATTTTTGGGAAATAATCAAAGATGATCTACTAAGAGTGTTTAGTGAATTTTATAGAAGAGGGGTTATTAGTCTGGGTATGAACTCTACATTCATAGCATTGGTCCCAAAGAAGAGTAGTGCTAACCAGCCAGTGAATTTCAAACCTATCAGCCTAGTGACCAATATCTACAAGGCAGCAAAGGTACTGTCTTTGAGGATTAAGAAGGTGATTCTGCCACTTATTCAGCAATCTCAATGGGCTTTTATACAAGATAGGTAGATGGTTGATCAGATTCTGATTGCGAACAAATATGTGGAGACCCTAACCTTCAGCCTTTGGATTTTGCAGTTCCAGCTGTTGAAACGTCACCGATGGCGGATAATGACCCATGTGCAATAGAAAAAGGAGGGGGTGGTGGAAAAGACAATGAGGAGAAATTGTTTAATGTGATGGTTTTGGAAAAGGATGAGGGGAGAAATGAAGTTATTGCAGGTACCCAAGAAAAGGAAAAGGAAGACTGTCGTTTGGATGAGGGAGAAGAAGGCTGTAGAGAGATACCCAAAGTAAAAGGAGAGGAACAAAAAGAAGCCAAAAGGAAGTTCACCAAAGTAAAGGTCTATCTTAGAAAGGGGGTAGAAGATGATAAAAAAAGAAAGAAAAGAATGAATGAGGTGGAAAGGCTAGCCTGTGCTGTGTCCTATGAGAAGACTGTAAATAGGAAAAGGGAGAAGAAAAGAGGAGAATAGGATTTGGGAATGAATTAGGGTTGGGGAAAAAAGAGTGAAATGAAAGTGCTTTGCTGGAATGTAAGAGATTTGGGAAGTGCAAAGAAAAGGAGAATCATCAGGAATGTGATAAGAAATGAGAGACCGGTTATAGTCATGTTACAAGAGACAAAGCTTTCGGACTTGGACAGAAGGTGGATAAAAAGTATTTGGAGTTGCAAGGGTCTAAGTTGGTCTTTTGCCCCGTCGTGGGGTGCCTCAGGTGGAATCCTTACAATGTGGAAGAATGAGGAAGTTGACTATCAAAAGGAACTAATAGGTTAGTACTCAATATCAATAAAAGCCAAGAGGATGAGTGATGGAAGGGAGTGGGTATTGACTAATGTGTATGGGCTGAATTCATATAGAGAGAGGAACTCATTCTAGGAAGAGCAAGCTGCAGTCAGAGGCATATGGGAGGGTCCGTGGTGTTTGATTGGGGATTTCAATGTAATAAGATATACAAATGAGACAAACAACCCCAACCAACCCTTAACATCCAGCATGAAACACTTCAATTCCTTGATTGAGTCCCTAGAACTAAAAGAGCCTACCTTGTTACAAGCCTCTTTCACCTGGTCAAATCTCCAAGAAAATCAAGTGTGCTCAAAACTGGATAGATTCCTRTTCTCCATTGATTGGGAAGAGTTGTGGGGCACTTTGACACTAAAAGCCCTACCTAGAGTGACTTTTGATCATTGCCCTTTAAGTCTTTACCAAGAAAATCTTATTGGTGGCCCCACACCTTTTAGATTTGAAAACATGTGGCTAGAAGTTCCAAACTTTTTGCGAAGGGTAAAAGAATGGTGGTCAAAAGATGGGATTAGGGCTAGAAATAAAGTGGTGAGATTCTCTAAGAAACTGAAAAGATTGAAGGAAAAGGTCAAGGATTGGAACAAAGAGGAATTTGGAAAACTTGAGGTCATGAAGGAGGAATTAGCCAGGAAAAAAGAGGATGTGGACCAAAAGGAGGCTAGGAAAGAGTGTGGGGTGGAGGATAGAATAGAAAGATGGAACTTAAAAGTGCAATTGGAAGAGATTCTAAGAAAAGAAGAGATTTCTTGGAGGCAAAAATCTAGATGTAAATGGCTTTTAGAAGAGGATGGAAATACCAGTTTTTTCCACTCTCTAACAAATGGGAGAAGACGGAAAAACCAAATTTCTAGTGTAGAGGTGGATGGAAGAGTGATCACTACAAAAGAGGAAATTGAAAGATGCTTTGTGGATCACTTTAAGTCAATCCTAGCATCTTCTGATGAAAACATGGCAGAATTGGGAGATTTACAGTGGGACAGAGTGCCAGAATCCAAAGTTAACCTCCTAGAAAGAGCCTTCACTATTGAAGAGATACATGAAGCAATATTCTTGATGGATAGATCTAAAGCACCGGGGCTGGATGGATTTTCAATGGCTTTCTATCAGGATTGTTGGGAAATTTTGAAAGAAGAATTAATGGATGTATTTGTGGAGTTCTATCAAGAAGGAAAATTATCGCCTTGAGCAAATGCAACTTTTGTTGCTTTAGTGCCAAAAAAGGAGGCCAAAACCCCTAAGGATTACAGACCGATAAGTCTTGTGGGTAGCTTGTATAAAATCATTGCCAAAGTCCTGGGTACTGCCCTATATTATCTCTCAGAACCAAGGAGCTTTTGTAGAGGGGAGACAAATTGTGGATCAAATTGTAGTGGCAAATGAGTGTGTGGCAGCTAAGAGAAAACAAAGTGACAAAAGTTTGATTTGTAAATTGGACCTTGAAAAAGCTTATGATATGATGGATTGGTCCTTCCTGTTGAATTTAATGGAAAAGATGGGGCTAGGTGAAAGATGGAGGATGCGGATTAAAGAATGTATTAGCTTAACACATTTTTCTATTCTGGTGAATGGGGTAGCAAAGGATTTCTTCCAGGCTAAAAGAGGACCAAGAGTCTAAGACAAGGTGGCCCCTTATCTCCATTCTTATTCACCTTTGTAGCTGAAGTTTTGAGTAGACAAATCACCAAAGCTGATCAAGAAAACCAGTTTAAAGGTTGGAGGATGGGTAGATCAGAAGTGGTGGTGTCTCATTTGCAATTTGCTGATGACATAATTATTTTCTGTGAAAGCTGTGATGAAGCCAGTTTAAGGAATCTGAAAAGATTGGTGGATGAATTTCAGCAGGCCTCCAAATTGATAGTCAATTGGGGAAAAAGCTGCATAGCCAGAATCAACATTGAAGGGGGGGATATCCAAGCCAATGGCAAATATGCTAGGTTGTCAAGTGAAAAATTGGCCTCTGGGATACTTAGGAATGCCCTTGGGTGGGAATCCGAAAGCTGAAAGCTTCTGGAAACCGGTGGTAGAGAGGTTCATGAAGAAGTTGGCAATGTGGAAGAGAAATTATATTTCCTTGGGGGGAAGAATCACCTTGATAAAATCAACCTTTGCAAACCTTCCCACTTATTTCCTTTCCACCTTTAAGATCCCGGTGAAAATAGCTAGGAAATTGGAGAAGATTATGAGGGACTTTTTGTGGGAGCCAGGTGAAGAAAAGAAAAATCATTTAGTGAAATGGGAGCAAGTTTGTTACCCTAAGGACCAAGGTGGATTAGGTATAGGGAACCTAATAAAGAGAAACAAGGCCCTCCTAGGGAAATGGCTATGGAGATTCCCTTGTGAGGAAGAAAGGTTGTGGCACAGGATCATTAAAAGCTTACATGGTGATGCAGATAACAGCTGGGATGCAAAATTAGCCCCCAATGAAGCTCCATTCTCTCCTTGGAAGGCAATCTTTGAGGTATATCCAACTTTTCTTCAATTTATCAGGTTTTTTGTTGGTTGTGGCAACAAAGTTTTATTCTGGGAAGACCTTTGGTTTGGGGATGTGCCTCTTATGTTCAATTTCCCAGACCTCTACTCTTTATCAAACTATAAAAACAAACCTGTTGCTAGGTTTGGTGTGCTTTCAAAATCAGGGATCTCTTGGGATTTTGGCTTTAGAAGAGGGTTGAGGGAAAATGAGTGTGAGTCTCGTGTTGTTGATTTCAACACT